ATGTCAGAATATCTAAATATTAGATATTTATAGAATGAGCCAGAGCATCCGTATGGAACTATACTTTCCCCTCCTCTACACAACACGTTTTCTCTCCTCATACTCCTTTTCCCAGAAATATACCACAGAAGATAAAATTTCTGCAGCCACCGAAGTGCCCCCAAACGGTATCTTGATCTAGTGGCAGACACAGTGACTTGGGTACTGAATTCTATTCAGGGTGGTGAACAGATGGGTTTTCTTTGTTCTAAACCTTAAAGATAAAATAAAATCTCTTCAAGAGTTCTCATTTAGCTATGTGATCATTGCCACTACTTGAACTTTTTCCACTTGCGATAAATTGCCCCCAAATTTAATGCATCATAAAATTGAGAATCTGTTGTGCCAATACTGTTTCTAATTTCCCTCTCATTTGTATCTGTTTCTAGAATGGTAATAAAATTAAACCTAAATCACATGGGAAAAGAGAGCTTAGCGGCTGCAGATACACATGCAGTTTCATTAAAAGAATATGTAACACAATCAAGATTCCGAGATAATCAAAATATAACACTCTGCAAAATTAATGCTTGAATGATATAATCCTATGATGAAAATAGGCAGGCATAATAGTTCTGAATTCACGTGGTTTCTTACTAAGAAATGATGAGTAAGGGGTAAATAAGCCAATTAAAAAGTAACTGTTAGGGTCACTTACCAGGCCCCAAAACAAAACAAATAATCTAATTATCATCATGTCTGAAAACATAAATTGTAATCTTGAGAAAGAGACTTATCATGTCATTTGAAGCAGAGGCTGATAACAAACCCTTTTGGAGACACTAATTAAAGCATCCAGAACATGCATGCGTAGAAGACAGAAAGGAAAAGGGAAGGCAGAAAGACCTATCGTACTGAACTCAGTCTTAGGGTTTTTGAAACACAGAATCATCTCAGACATTTGTGGTTTGACTTATGATATGTCTTTTATTTCGATAACTCCCCCCAAATATAACAACACTAGGGGACCTGTGTAGCCCTATGTAACAGCACGTCCTTTTTGAAGTGCCTTTGTGGTCTCTAAGTAGTAGTGAGGAGGATGATGATTTATTTAAAGTTTTACCACTTACAAAGCATAATCTCAATTTATTATTTCACTCGAGATACTGTATTGAGACAGTTTTTCTGCCTATTCCAATCAATGCACCAGGAGATGAACACCACATTTTATTCACTTATTTTCTTCCATTCATTGTTACTAAGAGAGGACCACCTCCACCAAGTGACTCTTTACAGAGCAAAAGAAAAATGTGCTCCTTCAATAACAAGAAAAAAAATAACCCTATTTAAAAATGGGCAAAGGACCTTAATAGACATTTCTCAAAAGAAGGCATACAAATATATGTTTTATATATCAACAGCTAGATTTAAAAAATGCTCAACATCTCTAATCATCAGAAAAATGCAAATTAAACCCATAATGAACTATCACTTCATGCCTCTTAGGCTGGCTATTACAAAATGGATGAAAGATAACAAGTGTTGGTGAGGATATGGAGAAAAAGGAACCCTTGTACATTGTTGGTGGTTTGCAAATTAATATAGCCACTTTGGAAAATAGTACGAAGGTTCCTCAAAAAATTAAAAATAGAATTACCATATCATCCAGCAATTCCTCTTCTGGATATATATCCAAAGGAATTGAAATCCATATGTCAAAGACATGTCTGCACTCCCAGGTTCATTGTAGCATTATTCATAATAGCCAGAATATGAAAGTAATCCAAGTGTCCATCAACAGATGAATGGATATTTAAAATGTGGTATATATGTGCCTTTAAAATGCAGGAAATTCTGTCATTTGCAACAACGTGGATGAAGCTTGTGGACATTAAGCTAAGTGAAATAAACCAGGCATGGAGAGACAAATACCTCATGATCTCACTTGTATCTCGAATCTAAAAAAGTCAAACTCATAGAAGTAGAGAGTAGCATGGTGGTTACCAGAGGCTAAGGGTGACAGGTAGACAGGGAAAGGAGAGATGTTGATCAAAGGGTACAAGGTTTCAGTTAGGAGGATAAATTCTGGAGATCTATTGCACAATGTGGTGCCTATAGTTAATGTACGTTTCAAAAGAGTTAAAAGAGAGAGTTTTAAATGCTCTTACCACAAAGAAATGATAAATATTTGAGGTGATGAATATATTAATTAGCCTGATTGGATTATTATGCAATATATGCATCTGATGAAACATCATGTTGTATCCCATAAATACATACAATTATTATTTGTCAATCAAAAATAAAACAGAACAAAAAAAACCTGCTCCCAGTTGAATTTTTGGCTTCACCTAGACAGCAAAGCAGCCAACAGATGCTCTCGCCTTAGAAAGGAGGGCAAAAATTTAAATTTCGTATTACCAAATAGTTTGATAAAGTCAATGATTTTATTTTTACTTTTTAGAAAAGTTTATGTATTCTTTTTTTTTTTTTTCTGAGACAGAGTCTCACTCTGTTGCTTGGGCTAGAGTGTCGTGGCATCAGCCTAGCTCACAGCAACCTCAAACTCCTGGGCTCAAGCAATCCTCCTGCCTCAGCCTCCCAAGTAGCTGGGACTACAGGCATGCGCCACCATGCCCGGCTAATTTTTTCTATATATATTTTCAGTTGTCCATCTAATTTCTTTCTATTTTTTGGTAGAGACTGAGTCTCGCTCTTGCTCAGGCTGGTCTCAGACTCCTAAGGTCAAATGATCCACCCACCTCAGCCTCCCAGAGTGCTAGGATTACAGGCATGAACCATCGCACCCGACCTAGATTATGTCTTAAGTATTTGATTTTCTTGATAACAAATACAATTTGCTAATGCAAATGGTATTGTGTTTTTAATTCCAAATTCCAGTTGTTCATTGCTGGGATATAGGAAAGCAATTAATTTTATTTACCTTATATCATGCAAACTTGTTATAATCCAGAAGGTTTTTTGGTTGATTCTTTGGGATTTTCTACATAGAAAATCAAGTTATTTGTGAGCAAAGAATGTTTTATTTCTTCCATCCCAATCTATATGCCTTTTATTTTCTTCTTGTGTTCTATGGCATTAGTTAGAATTTCAATATGATGTTGGGTAGGAGCCACGCTCCTGATCTTAGGGATAAAGCATCCGGTTTTTCACATTATGTATGTTATTATGTGTAGAGGATTTTTTGGTAGATATTCTTTATCAAGTTGAGAAATTTCCATTCTATTCCTGGTTTGCTGAGAGTTTTATTCACACATGGGTATCAGATTCTGTCAATGCTTTTCCTAAATCTATCAAGATAATCAAATGATTTTTCTTCTTTAGCCTGTTTGTGTGATGGATTACTTTATCTGTATTTTATATGTTGAACCAACCTTGCATACCAGGAATAAATCCCACTTGGTCTTAGTGTAGAATTCATATTATGTATTGCTAGATTCAGTTTGCTAATATTTCTTTAAGAAGTTTTGCATCTGTGTTCATGAGAGGTATTGGTCTATACATTTTCTTTCTTTTAACGTCTTTATCTGGCTTGGATATTAGGACCTCATAGAATGTGTTGGAAAATGTTCCCTCTGCTTCTATTTTCTGGACGAGATTGTGAATAATTAGTATGGTTTCTTCCTTAAATGTTTGGAAGAATTCACCTGTGAAATGATCTGTCCCTGGTGCTCTCTTTCTTGGAAGATTGTTAATTATTCATATATTACTATACTAGATATAGGCCTATTCAGATTATCTGTTTCTCCTTTTAGAATAAATGTGTCTCCCTGAAATTCATGTCCTGAAACCTAATCCCCAATGTGATGGTATTTGGAGATGCTTGTGGGAGATATTAGGTCATGAGAATGGACCTCTTACGAATGAGATTAGTGCTTTTATCAGAGGCCCTTAACTCCTTCTGCTGTGTGAGGATACAGTGAGAAGACATCCTTCTATGAACCAGGAAGCAGGTCCTCACTAGACACCAAATCTGCTGGCACCTGGAATTAATCTTGGACTTCAGCCTCCAGAACAGTGAGAAATAAATTTCTTTGTTTATGAGCCACCCGGTTTATCGTATTTTTTTCTTTTTCTTTTTTTTTAATTATTAATATTTTTGTTATATGGATACCTTTTATAATGCTTAAGTCAGGGCTTTTAGTGTGCCCGTAACCTGAATAGTGTTCATTGTATCCGATAGGTAGGTTTTTACCCCTCCCCTCCTTTTAAGTGAAAACGGGAAGAAGGTAAAACTGCAAGATGGGAAATATTTACACCCAGTCTCCCTAACACTTCAGAGCACGCGCCCTGTGCTGGTCACAAGCTGCTGCAGGAGGCTCCCGTGTTGGGTCCCCATTTTTCACCCTCTGCAGATGCACCCCTTCGCCACATGACTCCTCAGATCCTTCTATTGAAGAGGCGTTGTCTGCTTCCCTTGACCCTTGACCCTTGACTTCAAGTCAGGCCGCATGACTTGCTCTGGTCCAGGGGATGTCAGCTAATGTGATACATGAGAAGGCTAAGGACAGACTTGGGTTGTTCTGTGCCACTGGTGTGAGCATGTGCATGGGCTCTGGCTGGAGGACGAGGCGGGAGCTTAATCATCCCAGATGGGGCCGTCCTGGACCAGTCAACAGCAGCTTCCCTGGACAGGTTGTCCGGAGCCATGAGGCCCGGCAGCTGCTTATCCAAGATGGCCGCGAGCCATGTGGATCGGCCTGCTTATCTAAAATGGCCGACCAAGCCCGCGCATTTGCAAAAGCCCGCGAAAGAGCTTGTAAGTTTCCATTTACCCATTATGACGTAGCCCTTGAAAGCCGCCTGAGGGTTTCCTTATATGGAAATCCTTTGGCTGGAAAGCCAGAGCCTCGGAAAGCACCGCCCCTTTACTGTTACTTCCTCTTTCTGCCTTACTTAAGCCTCTGCCCTACTGCCAATAAACGAGACTTGATCAGACTCCTGTCTTGTCTCCATTTCTTGTGTCTCCTGCCTCTCCCAATTCCCACTCCCCCCTCCAGGGTCCGCGTTGACTACCCCGCGGGTCGGGACACAGGTGAGTGACCCAGGCAAGACTGCTGAGCTGGAGCGGGGCCCTGCAGGCCTGTGAGCTGAGGCGTTGTTGCAGGTGATGGGGCTGTGTGGTCGTCCCAAAGCATCAGTAATGGGAGAGAACAAATGGGTACAGCTACCCATAGCTTTTAACGATCATTTGTCAGGAAAATTTCTATGTTAGAATAGTTGTAGCAAATTAGATGTCAATAGATTCAACATATTTCTAGAATTTCTGCATTTTTTTTTAAATAGATTTGAGATGTAATTCACCTGTTTAAATTGTACAATTCAATGATTTTTGGTGCATTTATAAAGTTGTACATTCAACACAATCCATGTTAGAACATTTTTATTACTTCAAATAGAAATTTCACCCCACTCGGACATAATCCTCCAACTTTCCAACCCCTCCGGCTCCAGGCAACCACTAATGTACTTTCTATCTCTATAGATTTGTCCTTTCTGAATGTTTCATGAAAATGGAATCATGTAGGCTTTGGTCCTTTATGACTAGCTATTAAATACTTTTACTTAGTATGTTTTTAAGGTTCATCTGTATTGTAGTTTGTATGAGTATTTTTCATTCATTTTGTTCCTCGGCAATGTAATAATTAAAATTAATCTAAATTAAGATCTGTATATATACTAAAGTTATAACTTTTATAGCTATAAGGCCATTTTTAAGTTTTATATAGTGGTAAAATGAACATAACGTAAAATTTTTTTTTTTTTTTTTAAACAAGAAGTTTATTTAACAACAAGACGCTTGACTTGAAGGGAAAGCTATCTAGGATTCATTTTCTTTTTAGAGTAATTTATCCCTACTTAAAGACAGATTGCCCTACATGTAACAGCTACGTACAAAAAAGTTATAAAATTGTCCTTGGTTTTACAATGATAAATGAAAAACATTAAAATTCTCCAATTGAACAAGGTATGCAAGGATTTTTATGTTATTGTTTTTTGTTAAAACAATGAGAGCAAAATAACTTACTGGAATATAAAGATAAGAGCTGAATGAGCATGCCACTAATGGAGAAAGGGGGTATTTTCACAGAACCAGTATTTTTCCCCATCCCATCTCCACTTAATGTCAATCAAAACATACCATTGGCCATTTAGTTAAAAAAAAAAAATGCAATATGCTTGTGCACATACACCAGTTACTTTATGTACAACAAAGGAATGGGGAAGGGGAAAATGAAAGAATAGAGAAAACTATACTGTAGTAGTCAGGATGTGGTGGAACCAAATTGCAGTTTTCTAATTGAGAATGTAATCTTGGTCTGTAACAACAGAGTTCTGGAGTATAGTAGCAGGTTCCCTTTTTAGTAGACACCTCCTGTCTGCTGTTGGAACACATCAATTGTATCTTCGTCCTCCATTTCCAACTGTGCAGGTGTGTCTGTTTCATTGATTGGCTGCCCATCAAATCGGAATCTGATCTGCCTCATTGACAAACCCTGTCGTTCACAATAGGCTTTCATTAGTTTACTAAGTGGTGTATGCCTCTTAATCTTAAACTGCACCGCAGAGCCATCCTGTCCCGCCACCTTCAAATTAATGTGATCGTTATTCTCAGTCTTGACTCCTTCCTGTGCCTCCAACTTCACGAATCCAGTCTTCGCAGGTTAGGGGGTTCGTTGGCACTCAGGCAAAAGCCGCCGTCCCTCCCCCCGGGGCCCCTGAGGCCATTCAAGTGGGAAATACTCCCCGGGAATCCCCGACCTCCAGGCCCGACGACGGCCCGCGGACACCCGGCTCCCAACCATCAGCAGCCCATTGATTCGCCCCGAGCCCTCACACGGCCGCCGCGGCCCCCAGACGCCCGCGGCCCCCACCCTGAGGAGTGAGGCGCTAGGCTGAGGGGACTCCCCGCCACCGCGGAGGCGGCAACACCCGCCGCGGGCTCCGCGGAGGATGTGGACCCCGCGCGCCCTAACGCCTCTTCACGCGCAACCGGCCGGCAGGGCCGAGAAGCCCCGCTCCGGGCTGGTGGGCCCGCAGGCGTCTGCGATCCGCCCGCCCAACTCGGCGGGGGAGCCATAACGTAAAATTTACTATTTTAAACATTTTTAGGAGTGAATGTAGTGACATTAAGTACATTCACATTGTTGTGCCACCCTCACCTCTATACATTTCCAGAATCTGTTCATCATCCCAAATAAATACTCTACCTATTAAACAATAACTTCCCATCCTTCTTCCCCACGAGGCCCTGGCAACCATTGTTCTACTTTCTGTTTACATAAATTTGCCTGTTCTAGATACCTCATCTAAGTGGAATCACATGATATTTTATTTTTTCTTTATTTCTATTAGTGTAATCTTTTCAAGCTTCATCCATGATGTAGCACATATCAGAATTTCCTTCCTCTCTAAGGCTGGCTAATATTATATTTTATGGATACGTCACAATTTGTTTATCCATTCTTGTGTTGATGGCCATTTGGATTGTTCTACCTTTTGACTATTGTGAATAATGCTGCTATGAACATTCATATACAAGTTTTTGTATATGTGCACATTTTCATTTCTTTTTGTGAAATAATGAGAAATACCTATGTATTGGTCTCTGCCCCTGGTTACGGACATAGAGTTCCTAAATTCCTCAGAATTTCCTGGGTGTTAGGAGCTTCTTTTTTTCTAACCAGAAGACTCTTGTTGGGATCCTGGATGGGGGTTGGTCACTAGAAAGACAAGCATGATTAGAAGCTTGAAACTTTCAGCCCCCTCCCCACCATTCTCTGGAGAGGGGGAAGGGACTGGAAATGGAGTTAATCAATCACGCCTACATGATAACGTCTCCATAAAACAGTGGGGTTTGTAAAGCTTCCCAGTTAGTGAACACATCCATGTGCTGGGAGGGTCATGCACCCCA